AGGGGTAAGGGCAAACCTCCAGACATCCTCATGAGTGGTACAGGCATGGAGCAGTGAGTGAGCTGCAGATTGATTTACCATCTCCCCTTCCCCCAGCTCCTCTCTGGGATCCGTGTGCTCTGAATTTCTTTGCACTCAATCTCCAGTCAGATAAATCCATCATCCGCTCGGCTGTGGCAAAGGCAATTCTGTTTCTTTCTGCCGCAGCGCTGCAGGGCATGTGGCTTTGCAGACGATTGAATTGCATCGAATTCCTGTGAGTGGTTCCTCAGCCCCAGCTTGCAGCCCCGCGGCCGGGCCGGAGCGGTGCAGCAGTGCCCGGCTCTGGGCGCACAGGCTGAGTGCGCTCGGCAGCCCAGCGTGCCCTCTGCTGCCACCGCAGCCTCCAGCCGCTCCCCTCGCACCTCCCTCGCTGCCCCCTGCCCAGCACCCTCCGCACTCGCCTCTGCTTTCACCAGAGGGACAGTTCTGCCCTGGATCGCTGCCTTGCCAGCAGGGAACGCCGCTTTTCTTTATATTCTGGCACGGAAGCTGGTAGGGCTGCGCGGTGATCTAGGGATCGCGGTGACATTCCCTGCTCTGCCCCTGGACATGCAGCTGGTGCTGTGGCTACAGCCCCACAGCTCTAGCAGCTTGGAAATCTAACAGAGCAGGTTCCTGCCCCGGGAGATCCAGATGAGTGGAGAAAGAGTAGTCAGTCATGCCTGAGTGATAATAAAAAAGCAGGAGCTCAATAAGGGAGGGAGCCTCTGGCTGAATGGTACCATGTATCCCTGGAATGGGGCACAGAGACAGCAGCAATGTTGGGGTTGTACACGGGCTTACAACAGCCCTGAAAGGTTTCTGTTTTTATATTAAAACTTGGGCACAGAACTGAAAGGATTTGTCTCTCCATTAATTACAAGCCTCTGGGATTTCTGCTCCAATAGTAAAGAGGGAAGGCAGTCAGGCTGTGGATGTTCACAGAGGTAGAATTCTAGTACCTAATTTTTGAAATATCTCTGTCTAAGACCCTGAGCTGTGTTTAGGATTTCTTATGCTGCTACCTGAGATTTATTCCCAGTCTCAGCCACCTAGGGTACTGCCATGGCATCCACAGGACTGATAGCAGCTGCCTTGAAGGGAAAAGGGAAAGGAAGAGGGAAGAGAAAAGAGAAGGGAAAAGCATGGGAAAGACAAGGGAAAGATCAACACAAGCATGTGCAAAAACAAAGTTGAACAGGCTGAGCTAAGAGTTATATACCAGGTATAATATGAGAGTTAAAGACCAGGGTATTTACCTGTACCACTGCAGTGGCTGCCAGGAGTCAGGGCTGTGTTTGGGACCATACAGAGAGATGCTGGCCTGAGCTGTGACCGATTATTATCATAAGGAAAGAGATGATGGGTACAGATGGTTGAGCACACAAAATCAGGAAATAATACAGGGCTTTGTCTTATCTCTCTGTATAACTCTCCTCATTAACACCATCTCTGTTCAGCCTGGAAAAGGCTCTGAGGAGACCTTATAGCACCTCCCAGTACTTAAACAGGATCCTAGAAAGCCAGCAATGGACTTTTTTTCAAAGCTATGCAGGGACAGGACAAAGAGAAATGGCTTTAAACTGAAATAGGGTTAATTTATGTTAGATATAAGGAAGTAATTCTTTACTGTGAGGGTGGTGAGGAATGGGTGACCTACAGAAGCTGCCAATGCTCCACACCTGGAAGAGCAGGCTGGATAAGGCTTTGAACAACCCGATCTTGTAGAAAGTATCCCTGTCCACCGTTGGAAGTGGATGATTTTTAAAGTCCCTTCCATCCCAAACCGCTCCATAATTCCAGGACTGTCTGTCTAAACTCCATCTTCCACTGCCCTCTTGTGCAGCCTCGGCAGAATGCAGCGCAGCGCCCCGGCCCCGGGGATCGCCCATCAGAGCTGCCAAAAGACATAAAACCCCCCCTCCCCTAGCCCTGCTCACTCCCCTGGAGCCCGAATCCCCATCCCCACGCTGAGCCTTCCTGGCAACCAGCCATTTCACAGGCTTGGTGGCTCCCTCTGAGTGCCAGCCTGTCCCTGAAGCTGGGTTTTCCGAGGGCAGTGCCCACGCTGGCAGGGCTGGGCAGCTGAGTGCTGTTAGTGGGTAGAAAGCAGGCACAGAGCAGGTGCAGGGCAGCTCTGGGTGTCACGGCTCCCTTGCCTCTCCAAACACTATCCGTGCCAGATCCTGCAGGCCTCTGACCGCGGGTTGCTATCGCTTCGGCTGAGCTGCCTGGAAAAGCCATGACATCACTGTTTAAAAAAAAATAAATCCGTCAGGAGGAGGAAACCATGTTCTGGGAAAATACAGTATTTATTTTGTAAGTGCAGCTGAGCAGGTCAATGGGAAATAGAGGTCGTGGCTGCACAGCTGCTTGTCTGGGGCAAGTGGAGCTGTCAGCCCAGCCCAGCCACTTCCAAAAGGGACAAGTGCAGTAACCAGAGAGGAGGTGAGCAAAAAGGCAACCAGGTCCTGGCAGGGAGGGGAGAAACCTAAATATGTGTGTCAGATGAGAGTATGTGTGTCAAAACCCTGTTGTGAGGACAGCCAGCTTTACTAAACATTAAAAACCCACCAGAGAAAGGTAGAAAGGGAAAGCAAGTGAGGGAACAAGGTGGGAAAGCAAGATTTTGCTGTTGTCAACACTCAGGCAATGCTCCATTTGTGGTCATTTTTCCACCACCCTGTGTATAACACAAGGAAGTTGGTGAGGACTCATGGCAGCCTCAAGGGTGAAAAATAGGCTCCTGCCCAGAAGGATTCTTGGGAAGACGTCACTTTGTGAAACACAAGCAGGCACTTGCCACAGACTGCCAGGCAGCCATCCTGCCCAGCCAGATCAAACAGGAGGAGAGAGAAGCTGGCTCCAGTTCATTGCTCAGCCCTCGCCTTTTTGTGGGGTTTCTTCACATGGCAGCAGATCTGGTCTGCTGGGGGACAAGCCAGAGGAGCTGTGTGTCAGAAAAATCATAGAATGGCTTGTGTTGGATGGGATATTAAAGATCATATCCCCTTGCCACGGCCAGAGACACCTTCCACTGATTACAGTTACTCAAGGCCTCAACCAGCCTGGCCTTGGACACTTCCATGGATTTGACATCCACAGTTTCTCTGGGCAACCTGTTCCAGTGCCTCACCACCACCACGGGTAAGAATATTTTCGTAATATTTAATCCAAATCTACCTCCTTTCAGCTAAAGGCCATTCCCCCTTGTGCTATCACTACATGTCCTGGTGAAAAGTTCTTCTCCAACTCTCTTGTGGGCTCCCTTTAGGCACTGTAAGGTGCTCTAAGGTCTCCCTGGAACCTTCTCCTAGCTGAACAGCCTCAATTCTCTCTGCCTGTCTTCACTGAAGACATGATCCAACGCTGCAACCAGCTTAGTGGTCTGGATTAATTCCAACAGGTCTTCCTTGCATTGGGGGCTGCAGAGCTGGACACAGAACTCCAGGTAGAGGTTTGGCAAAACCAGAGTAGAAGTTAAAGAGTTTAACTTTCAGCCTGAAACAATGCGTTTATTTAGAGGCAAACAGGAATAGGCAACTGCATTGCCTTTAGATGAGCACATAAAGCAAGAGCTCAAAGATGTTATAAGGAAGAACAGCAGACCTAAAAGCTGCAAGCTCACAAAGATGAATACCAGCTACTCCATCCAGGTCAGCAGCCTGTCCAGATCCTGAGGCTATGCTAAGTGAGATAATTCCTCAGGAGAGACTTCTCTTAAAATACCATTGCTGTTATTGGTCACCTTAATTCCCCTGATGGGGCCCAAAAGCATCTTCATAGTTCCTGGCCCTAAAAATGTTCAGATAATGTCAGCAGTAGTTGTCTCAGCCTGCTATCACCATCAGAAGGCCAAGTCAGAGCAGCAAGGATGCTGCAAAACTGAAAATTGGCTCCCCCCCCTTGGCATTTTCCTCCCATGCAAGGCTGCTATGGCTGCCTCACATCCACCCCTGTCCCATGGTGTTGAAAAACACATCCTTCTCTTCATCTCCAGCTCCTCCTAAGTGCAGCCCCTCCTGACCCTGCAAACAGCCAGGCCTGCCCCTTCCTGCTGGTGCTTCCAAGTCTCCCCACTGTGAATCATCTGGCAAGCCCCGAGACAAAGTTAGCCATGAATCAACTAAACTCAAAATGAAACTCAGACCCCACCCCGTGCCGTGCTGAGCTGTGGCTGGGCTCCACACCAGTGCTGGTTCCAGCCAGTCCTGTCTGTGTAACTCAGAGAAACTTTGTGTGAGGCTCTTTGGTGCTCTGAAAGCAGAGGAGCAGAACAGAGCTGCTGGGCTGCCTGCACAGAGCTCAGGCCCAGGCACTCAGGGCTTCTCCCAGCACACCACAGCCACCCAAACAGAGCAAAGCAGCTCCTCTCCCCACCAGGACCAGCCCAGGGACTCCTTCAGGCTGGGCTGTTGCAGCTCTGGCCCAAAGCCAGCGTGCAGCAGCTGGAAACAGAGATGCTCTAGGCCAGTGAGGTCCTGGATGGGGTTACAGACCCTGCTCCCCTGAACCATCCCACAAGGCAGGCAGAACAGCAGGCCCTCCCATCCCAGGCTCTGAAAAGAGAGGAGCAGCAGGCAGTCATCTTCCCTGAGCAATTCTGGCAAGAGCACTGGATTCCAGGAAATAAAAATAACTTCTCAGCCATCTGGAACTGTCCCTGGGCTGGTGAGCAAAGGTCTCTCCCAGCCTCTGCCCTGTTCCTGCTGGCTCTCAGTACCAATGGGGGCAGCACTGTCCCCACCAGGATCCAGAGCAAACTTGAGTCCTGCTCAGAGCTCCTGACAGAGACCACCTCTGGCCACTCCAGGCTGAAAGAGGCCCCTGCCTTCAACACAGACCCAGAGCCACAGCAAGCCAAGAGCTCACAGCAGGGCTCGGGATGCTCAGCCCCTGCCCCAGGCACCAGCCAGGCTTCAAAGGTGCTTACGGAGAAGGACAGGCAAGAACAGACCTCTCACTCCATCATACGTCACTTTTCTTCATTTTATTCTTTTATTTGTACAGCTATATTTTACAGAACGCATTAATGCAGTTTAGACACAGCCCAAACCCTGTCTCCCGAGATTGTTTATAACACAAGCATGTAAAATAAGACAAAAAAAAAAAATCCAAAACAAAACAAAAAAAATAAAACATTCCCCCACTAGAGAGTTCCACCAAAACTCCTTTTGCAACATCAGGCTGTACCTTGAAGAAACTGAGCTCAATATAGTCCATACACTGAAAACTTCCATTGAAAAGAAAGGCACCGTGCGAAACCACATTTTACATATATACAGACTGAGAACTAGAACAAAAAAATTACACTTTATTATTATTTTAAATTCCTTCTGCAGCTTTGTTGGTTTAATACACACTTTTTTGTAAATTGTAAACCTTCACTTGCAAAAAAATACAAATACACTGATGCATTTAGACAAAATATTTTCTTACTTGTACAGATGCAATACTTTAAAATATCTCCTTAAGTGCTCTATCATAATAAAGATTCTCAGAGTGGCTTCTGCCTGCAGAGTCCAACTGAGCCTTTAATGCATTTTATATATTTTTAATATAGCTTTTTTAAAGGTCTATATATATTTATTTTATATATATATTTATATATTTATATCTATATATATTTACAACTCTGCCATAGATTCCTTCACCTTTGGTTAAAAAAGTTAAAGCCCTCTCTTTAATAGCATACTTTCTCTTTAAAAGAACACACATTTTGCATACAAAAGAAAAAAATCTGTTCCCATAAATCAACATTACATTCCTCATCTTCAAACGGCAAAGGCTGTGAAGGTTAGACTCCAGAGTTTATCAACACTCCACTGCACAGACATTTAAAATGACTATTTTAAATTTTTTAATGTTTTATATACAGTAAGATCTGAATAATTTTATTTTTTTCTTTTTGTTTCACATAACTGGGAAAAATAAAACCCGTGTATTTGTAATTTTTTTTTTTTTTTTAAATTTCTAATGTTTTTTCCACCTATCTGTACTATGGGTTTAGAGGCACTCCATCATGTGATGAATATTTTTTCTTTCTCTCTCTCCTTTTTTTTATTTTATTTTTTTTTCTCTCTCCTTTTAAAGTGTTGCAAGTATCCTTTGGACAGCTTCTCCCCGAAGACAAGCTCCTCCCGGGAAATCCTTCAGCAGGCTTTGGGGAGCTCCGGAGGCACCTCGCTGGCCGAGATGCGGTACTGCACCTTGGTGTTGGTGATGGCCCCGTGCTTCTGCCGCAGGTGGAGCCGCAGCTGGCTTTTGTGGCGGAAATGCAGGTTACACTTCTCACACTGCGGGGCAAAGAGACAGGCTGTGAAACTCCGTGCTGGGGGACACCTCCTCCCCTCGGGGCACCCTAATGCCTCCTCTCCACCAGGGCCCCAGGATGCTGCAGCCACTGTACAGGTGGGCCGGGGGAAAAGCGGGAGCGTGGCGGGAGGAGCAGCACCCGGGGGCACCCAGCCCAGGCTTTCAGCAGCGTATCTTGGTTTATGGGATGCACAAAGAGCAAAGTCCCTCGGGAACTGACTCTGGCTCTGACCGACATAGCACCGAGCTCCATATCGAGGTGATCAAACCAGATACAGGGCTATTTCTGGAGCTGCTTTTGACCTCTGCCAAGCTGGATGGCTCCAGGATGTTTGGATGCCAAGCCCTGCTCGGATTCCCTTTCTAGCAGATGGTGAAAGGCAGGAAAGCCCCAGTGAGGAGCTGGGAGCCCACAGGGCTGCAAGCAAGGCAGACTGCCTGCTGGGTGCGATTATCACCATCAGAGGGGAGCTCAGGCCAGGCTGTCTGCTCCTTTTCCCCATCCCCACACAACACACGCAGCTGTAATCTAAGCCATAGCTATTTGAAGAAGTGTGACCTTCTTCCAGATGGGGTGGAAGAAAAGAGCAACTGAGATGCACCCAGCTTGGGCTGCATGTCAGTGTTTCCAACACAGCCACGCCTGAAAAAACACCACATCAGCATCAGCTAATGCCCAGGAGGGAGATGGGGCACGAGAAGCAGGGATGTGACCTTGGTGCCTCATGAGGCTGGCAAAGGGCATTAGGATGCTGCAACCAGCCCATGCGAGTGCCCTTGCGTCTTCCCAGCCCCCAAGGCTTGGCAGCACTTTCCCCCATCCCAAGCTGAGATTCCCCACCACCAAAAGAAGCAGAGCCACTCACATGATACGGTTTCTCTCCTGTGTGGATTCGAAGGTGACTTTTGAGGGTCTGCAGGTGCCGGAAGCGTGTGCCGCAGATCTCACAGGGGTACGGCTTCTCCCCGGTGTGAATGAGCACGTGAGCACGGAGGTGGGCCACCTGCAGAGAGCAGCTCTGGGTCAGGACAGCCCCAGGGAGGACAGCATCCCACTGGGAGCAAGGGTATCCCTGTGGGAATGGGGTTCTGCCCAGACAGTTCTTTTGGTCTATTGGGTTATAGCTGGGACTCAGGGCCATGTGTCTGAGCTCTGGTACCTCCAGTCCTTAAGACAAAATGGAGCAGAATAGCTACAACCAGCAGTCAGGACTCCTTACTAAGCCAAATTGTCCCCTCGGACCTTAAGTTCCGTATTTATCCCACAACACCATGGGAACAGCTGCCCAAGGTAGCAAGCTGGGCCACCATCAGCCTCCTCCCTGCCCTTGAGGCATCACCAGTCTTGGTGGTGAAGATCTGCTGGTCTTGGGCAGAAGATCTAACCATGTCCCACCTCCCCAGGCACTGCAGGTCCCAGAGACACACTACCTGGACAAATCTGGCCCCACAAGTCTCACACTTGTAGGGTTTCTCCCCAGAGTGGATGCGTGTGTGGGTTTTCAGGTTGGCTGGTCGGTTGAACTGTGCCCCACAGATGTTGCAGCGGTACGGCTTCTCTCCTGCAGAAGAAAGGGTGAGGGATTAGCTACAGGTGTGCTCAGGATACATGGTGCTCCCCAGAGTTGAGTCTCTTCAGGCACCAGACCCCATGGCATGAAGCACTATCCCTGACTCCTGTCCCTTTTGGAGATGGCTGTGGACAAACCACCTTGGGCAGGGTGTCTACAGAGCAGGGTGAGCTCAGGAGGCAGCTTTTCTCTTCTGGACTGGGAGCTGAAGCCTTCAGGGCAAGAGAGGAAGTCAGGCAGCTCTGCCAGCAAGGATTAACAGCATTGTTCCTCCTGACCCTGGGACAGCAGCTGGCACCTACATCTCCCTACAGCTCTCAGTAAGCACCCTTGAACACTGCCCTGGTACTTGTATTGTCTTAGTCCCCTGCACAGCCTTCCTGGAGCTCAGCTCAAACTGTGGGAATTTGGGTCTAATTCAACGTAGCAGCACAATCTTCAGCCCAGACTTCCCCTCCCCAGCTTGTGAACTGGCTGTTGACATGTTAAGCATTAAAAGCATGAAATAAAATAAGCCCTAGGTTTGTCAGCAAATGACTAAACCCTTAATATCCTCCTCCTTTCTCAGCTTTCATTGTGCTGATTCACAGAGTCCGTCCATTCACAGATTTTTCCCATCAGCAGAGTTTATGCCAAGCTAGATGTGACCTGGATTTCTAGGATGTAAAAATTAATCTCAGACTTCTCTCTAAATGTTCTTTTGGCTATTTTTAAATTTTATATTTTTTTTGCTTACGTCTACCACAAAGTTACCCGAGGCCATGCATTTGCTCCCAGTTATGAATTTTGCACCATGCCTTTAAAAACAGAGGTGCCCAGTGATTTACAGCAAAGGAGGTTGAGTTCTACCCCTGCTGCAAGGGCAGGTACCTCCTCCATTCCCAGGTTTGGTGCTCTGTCCAAGGGCACCCTGGCAGTGCCAAGTAAAACACCTTGCTCTTCCCATCAGGGACAGCTCATGACACAAAGCAGAGGATGCTGCAGCAGGCACAAACCCAGCCATAAACACCCACATGCTCAGCAACCCACAGCCTTCCCCAAAGCTGTCCCCATAGCCAACACTGTACCTGTGTGGACGGTTTTGTGGCTGGCGAGGTTCCCCTTGTAGCGAAAGGAGGCCTGGCAGCGGTCACACTTGTAGGGCTTGTCACTGTGGACTTGCAGAGAATGTCTCTTGAGAGAGGCCTCCTCGGAGAACCGGCAGTCACACTCATTGCAGAAGAAGGCTCCGTTCTCTGGGAGAGCAGAGAGAGGAGCAATCAGATGGACAGTGCATGGGTCACCTTCTGGATAGGCTATGGGATGGATTTGGGATGGAGGAGAGGGGTAGCCAGAGCAAGTGTTGCAACAAGCAGCCAAGTGCAGGTGTTCATGTTCAGTTGTGCTTGCAGCGTTCTGTTGCCTCCTGGCCTGGTGCATACAGCGACAACATGCATGGTTTGAGAGCAAAGTCATCACGAGCTCTGGTTGAGAGCTTTTTCTCTCCTTTAGTGATGCACAGGCTGCTTCCAAGAAGTCAGCATGTCACCTGGACAGCTTTTGAAGAGGTCCATGGAAGCACTCAGGTATCAGGCATCCTCTGAAGGATGCTCAGCTCTGGAGCAACTCCTGCACCTTTAGAGGTCTTTAACCTTTACAGGTACAGAGGTCTGCCTTGAGCTTGGGAAGATGATCATCACCCAAATCACAAGGCAGGTTCCCCCAGTAGGAGGATGCCCAACTCTTAAATGTTGTGTTGAGTGTTACCACAGTGAGGTTCCCTCCTTGGATCTCTGCCCAAGCTACAGGTGGCAATGCTGCATTCCCCCTCCCTCAGCTACAGGCAGATGAGTGCACAGATACCTCTCTTTGGGCTTCTGGGGTTTTGCAACAAGATTGCAAGCCTCATTATCTGCATTTCCCCAGATGTGCACACCGGGCTCCCTGATAATAAAGATATCATGACGGATGCATGAGACATGCCAGCTTGCCCAATCCCCATTACGGGTCATTACATCTGTCAGGCTTGTTCTCCTGTGGTTCTGGTGGGGTGGGGTGCACTTGTTTCCTGTGCTTACCTGCCAGATCTGCAGCAGGTGACTAACTCCCTGCACAAGGTATCTGGATGGTGCTGGGGAAGGGGAGGAAGGCAGCAATTCCCATGTGCACGTGTCCCTCACACGCATGCACACAGCTGGACAGACAGTTGAGAGGGGGCTATAAAGCACTGTGGAATCCACCAGCATCTGGGACAGGTCTGACTGTGTGTTTGATTACAGGGCACTCAGTGATGGGTCCCAGCGTTGCACAGCCCACCTGCTGGTTGAAAAAGACAACCACGGATGCAAGACTTACCACAGCTGGAGTCAGAGTATTCAGACTGGGTTTCCCCCATCTCTTCTCCAAAGTTTGAGCCAGGGGTATGAAGGCACATCTCAGTATGTTGTGGGGACTGGCAGCCACAGGAGCTGCACTTTGATGAATGCATGTACAGAGGGGACTGTCCTTCGCTGCTCCGAGGGGACCCGTCCCGGGACCTGTGGAAGGAGAGCCGTGTACAGAGCCGTGAGATGGCCCTTGCTGTGCTGGAGGTACCTGACCCTTCTTTGCACCCCTCCCCACACAAGGGACACACGTTTTATGGGGACATCTTTGTGGTGAGCTGCACAGCATAGCCCTGATCAACAACAGGTCCTTAAGCCTCAAACCTTCAAATGTTCATCACCAAATGACCTCAAATGTCTTTAGGAACATCCAGGTCCAGAGGATAGCATATTGTTCCCTGATACTTTGGCCGTTCCAATGCCTACAGCCAACAAAAAGCGTGAGGCATAGGAAGTCTGGTGGAAACACAGGCTAGGCAAATCCAGGCTCCAGAAATCATCCAGAGCTGCCAAAGTTACCCAGGGATTCACAACCCAGTGTTCCCAGTTCTTCTGCTGGTCCATGCTGGCACCACTACAGCAGGGACGGTGGGCACTCGGTGTCACTGGCAGCCCTCCACGAAATGCAGGGGCTCCAACCTGCTCATGACAGGACTTTCCAGCCCAATGCTACAGGCATCTCACACTTCCAAACCCTCACCAACATTCAGGAAGTCCTGTTTCTCGGGGGGGAGCAGCATGGGGGGTGGAAGTCTTCTCACCTGTTAACAATATTGTTGAGTCTGCTCGCTTGTGGGATAGTAGAGTCTTCACCATTCACGCTTATCTTGGTGGGGGACTGCACATTGAGATGCTCTGGCTCCATGGACTGCTGGCAAGTGGACATGGGTACGTAGGTGCGAGGAGAGAGGGTTCCCATCTCGTTCTGGTCAGCGCTGTCTTGCTTGGCGTTCTGGTTGAGGGAGTTGAGGACAATGAACTTGTACTTCTTCCAGTTGCAGGCTTTGGGGTCTGTGGGGCTCTTGGTGAAGAGGGAGCTGGAGTTCTGACCGATACGGGCATTCTTGCTGCTGCTGGACTCAGTTGGTGAGTTGGGCTGGCAGTCTGACTTCTGTGGGCTCTGAGGGCTGATGAGTCCCTTGCGGTCCAGGGGCGTGTTGGTGGGCTCAAAGTGCTGGCTGATCTCGTCCTCCGAAGAGGTCCGCTCCTCCTCTTTGGCCACTTTATCACAAGGGAAGTAGGGATTGTTTCGGACTGAAGGGATGACAGGTTTGGGCCCAGAGGCCACGCTGTAGTGCATGTCACTCCTGGCTTCTTCAGCAGCACCTTCTTTTGGAGCATAGATGGTAGCGTGGCACATGTTGGCAGAGATGTCGGTAATGGTTCTCACGTACTCAGTGGGGATTGTCCTGGAGCTGTCGCACGGCAGGATCCTCTCCTTGGGGAAGGCACCTGCCCTTGAGAGTTCAGAGAGAGGCATCCTCATCTCCCGCAATTCATCATCCACTAGGAAGCTGTTCAGAGGGAGAGGGCTGTATCCATGGTAGGAAATGGGGGATCCAGACAAACTGTTGATCAAGCCAGGTGCAAAGGCCCTCCCATTGCAGAGGGACCCGTTTTGAAGAGGCAAGCCATTCTCTGAGACATCTCTGCTCCGATAAGCCATCACCTCTGGGTGGCCCAGCATCCGTCCAGCCAAAAACTCTTCCCTTGGGGTCTTCACAGCAGACACCATCTCTGCTTCACTGGAATCGGGGAAAACAGCAGGGAGACAAAGTAATTTTCAGCCCATAAAGATACATCTGCAGATACTTTGTCAGTTCTTCCCCTGCCCACCCAAAGGCACAGTCCCAGGCTCTTCGAAAAAGACTGCACTCACCTAGACTTGACAAACCTTCGGCAGGTGTCAACCACGTGCTCCATCTGCAGGTAGAGTGCTGTGGCCATCACAGCCATGATATTGTTCTCCCTCAAGTTCAGGCGGGAGGTGTACATGAAGTCCAAGAGGATGCAAAACCCCTCAGGGTTAATTTCAGGATCCAGGTTGATGACATTCAAGTTGCACTTGAGCTGGTCAGTGAAGATGCTGTAGAAGAGGCCACTGCAGAACAGAGACAGTAGAGAGGATAAGTGTCATGACAATTCAAAGGCAAAAAGGAGATTTTGTATTAAATCCTTGAGTACAGAGGGGTTCGTGAATAGGAAGGGAGGAGGAGGCAATTACAGAATTCCCTGAGCTTCCCCCTTATTATCAAGCTTGGTTTCTCAGCTTAGTAAGCGTCTTCTGTGCTTTTCCCAACTGGAACAGCCTGCTTTTACATCTCACCTGCTCAACAACTCCCCACTGCCTCCATTTAGTAATTCCCCAGCTTTTTTGTTTTTTTTTCCATTGTTGTGCTTACCACCATCCCCTTCCCACTATGACTCATTTCTTTCAGAAGCCTCTTGGGGCATCCACACAGTCTTAAACCAGAAAAATATAAAAGGAGAAACGTTGGAAAAACATTTTTCAGACATTTTAATAGTCAAAGCTTGGCTTTTTGAAATATTTGCACCATGTCAGCAAGATAACCTGGAAGGCATTTGCTGTAATTCAACTGGGCAATGGTGGGATATTAATTAACATTCATTGGGAAGCAATTCCAGCCATCTTAGGGGCTGGAAAGGGATTTCAGACCCCATCAGGTTTTTTAAAAAAAAGAAAAAAAATTAATCAACTAGGGTGGGTTCAGACAGCAGTTTGGAATCCAGGGAGGAATAGCTCTAAAAATAGCAGTGGCAGGGGACAACTCAGTTACAGAGGACCCATTCACCCCAGTGAACATCCAGCCCTCCCTGTCCCATCCTGTCCCTGTGGGACATTTGTGCTTTGCCTTCAGGGATGTGCCTCACAGCTGCTGTTGGCCTCCAGGGGCTGTGTGTGGGCAGATGTGGGTACACAAGGAGAGAGGTGAGGGCAGCACTCTCAGCTCTAATCCCATTACAGATACAAATTTCATGGCAGCCCCTCTCAGTTCTGCTTCTCTGCCTCTGATTCCCCAGGAATCCCATGAGCCCGCACAGGACTGCAGCAGTGCTTCTGGAGACCAAAGGCTGAAGGAGCAAAGGAGGGAGCCAGGGAAGGACCCTGTTCGCACCTGCAGGCCATCAGGACTGTTTTGTGGGCTCTAAACTGCTCCCGGTTCACGATGATGACAACATCAGTCAGGATATCCCGGCTTCTAAGGCGGTTGAGATTGAGGAGAACGTCGCTGGCATGGCGGGTGAACTGGATGCAGCTGTCTGCCGGCGAGGCCATCTTGAGTCTGTGAGACAGAAGCATCAGAGGAAGATGAGAATGGAGAACAGCCAGGCAAGTACCCTAAACCCAGGGAAGAGACAGCTGCTGCTCTGGGACATGCTCAAATGGCAAATTGCTCCTGGTAGGTGCAGCACCAGCTCTTCGGTCCCAAGACAAACAATCCTGCACCACACCAAGCTCTTGCCAGGCTGCCTAGTGAGGTCCCTGGGCTGACAGCGAGACCTGGCACGTCTCATCCCACCCACCAAGCTGGTGGGTGAAGGCAATCAGACCCTCCTGAGGATTAGCCAACCATCTCCTCTTTCTCTCTGCCTCACCCATGGCAGCCACACCCCAGTCCACTCCACCCACTCAGGCTCATCTCCACGACGTTTCCAGCATAGCTTCTAGCTTTCCAACCTCCCTCAGGAGCCATCCTCCTCACCTGTGTGATGCCTGGCTGTAAATCCAGCCACAGGAATCAAAACAAGCCTTAAGGTCCCAACTGAAGTTGAATGAAGTTTCAACATCTGGAAAATCCAGCCCACAGTGGAATACCAGCCCTCACCCAGGAAACTACTTTCCTACTCCCAAGTGGTGGTCACTCTGGAGAAGACCTGTCCACAGTTTCCTAATTAACTGGTGAGGAGTAGAACTCATCTAACCTGCTGGGCTGCTACCCACACCATGGCCCAATCCCTCCCCATGAGCAAGGTTTGGGTTAGTCTAGGAACATGAAGCCTTCCCCCAACACAATGCCTGTTGACCCATATCAGAGGTGTCCTCCCAGCCAGCACCCAGGATGGCCCAGGTCTCCCTGAGGTTTGGGCTGGAATGTGCACCTTTGGTGTCAAAGTCTTCCACAGTCAAACCCCTCCCACAATCCTGGCTCCTCCTTCCCCAGTGGCACATGAATGTACAGTAGTTTCTACAGAGCAGCTGCTCTCCCAAAAACAAATTCCAGCTGGGTCTAATGAAACATTGCATTAAGGAAAGAGGGAGAGAGATTAGGAGGGAAAGCACAAAATTTAAATTTACATACCCAATGCCTCAATTCACAGTCCAAAAGTTTCTTTCAAACCTATAAATAAATCACAAGAAAACAAACACCACATTAGCTGGTAATTATGAATTGGCTGCGGCAGGTCACAAGGCTGCTATTTCGCTCAAGTATCAGTTGGATAAAAGCTAGAGATAACAAACCTTCCACTCTCCAGTAAGGTTAACATTTGTTTCTTCCGGTACAGTATGTTCTTATCACAATCACAGGCTTTGAGAATCCAATCATAGCTTCTTCCACACCCTCTAGCCCAAACCATGGGCGTATGCCAAGGAGATTTTCATTTCCATGACTCAGGAACTTAAAGGCAGGTGGGGAAGGGAAGTCAAGCAAGAATTTTCTCACCACTTCTTTTGGAGATAACTCTTCCCCTGCCAAGACTGAATTCCTGTCCAGTGCAGCATTCAAGACTCATGCCATACTCCCAGCACCTTGTTAACAGGTATGATATACACACAAACATCTGCTGCCATTCTGCTCAGGAACCCACATGCTCCAAACACTGGTGAAAATGCCCTGGGATGGGTTTGCTGAACAGATCTGGGAGGATATAGGCATCAAGTACCAAAGTCACTTGGCCAGGACTGCATAGGAAGCCAGTGGTGGAGACAATGAGGATGCAGAACAAATGTCCCTTCCCCTTTCTACTGCCAAAGCCTTCCCTTAAACCACAAGCTCTGTCTCCAGGTACAGCAATGTAGCTGGGACAGAACAGCAAGGAAACCCAGGAGCTAATTGCCTTCCAGAACTCATACTAATCCTCCAAAATTTACTTAGAACCAAACCCTATTGACTTGGCACCAATGCTGGAAGAAGGTCCTCAAGCAGTTGCCTCAGCAGGTAGAAGCAAAATAAAGAGACGAGACAACAAACCCCAAGACCTTCATCACACTGTTTTGAGGACCAACCTCAGATTGTTAAAACTGCCAGGCAATTGCGGGAAGCCCAATAATCCCTGTGAGACAAGGGATTTTCAAGTGTTGCCTTCCCTCTCCCTTTTGGTTGATGTGCAGGTCTGGAGCCCAAGCTCCCCTCCCATCCCCAGAGCCACGGGGATGAAGAGATGAGATTTAAAGCAAGGTATCAAGCTCAAAACCCAAAGGGTGTCTTACAGCTTTATTCCAGCCATCAAACACAAATCTTCAGAGCCATTCTGGGCTTGGCCAGCTTTAAAACTTCATGCACATACAAAAAGTGACTCATTTCCCAAATACTGCAGATCTGACCTTTCTGTACACACTCACTGCCAGCCACTCACTACCGTCAATTGCAAGCCAAGGGACTCGCAGCGCCCTGCAAGGAGCCCAGCGCACATCCCTGTGCCCACATGAGCTGATGTGTGTGCTTGGGCAGCTGGCTGGCACCCCAACCTCAGCCACAGTGGCAGACACACTCTGCCAGGCTCTGGGGAGTCACCTCAGTGTCACAGAGGTGAGGAGGTGACCCACTTGTAAACCAACAAAGTTACAAACAGCCAGATGAACTCTGTACCCGTGAGCGTCATGTGAGAAGCTGCTACTGTCGACAAATCCCCTTATCCACAGTGAGGGCACAGCACTGCCAGGGGGGATGCCCAGCTTCTCTCCCAGAGCTGGATGCCAGCACAGCCCCCTCCCCACCCTTCCAAATTATCCCTCCCAGCACAGAGCTGCTGCAACATCCACAGCCCCAAGAGCCGGGCAGGTGCATCCCGAGCAGCTCCTGGCTGCAGGATGCGGGCATGCAGAGGGAAAGGGATGTTCCTTCCCCTTGCTGTGCTGAGTTGGGTTAACCCTGCCCCTTCCAGTCCCCACACAGCACTAGCTCTGTACCCCAGCATGGGAGGATACTCCGACCAGAGACAATGGGATGGCAACAAGGACCACAGACCAGTGATGGGGAGCAGAAAAAACCACTGCAGCCAAGCATGGTCTTTGCCATCTAAAACCCCCTCAAATCCCATAAGGCTCCTCCAGGCTCAGCTGGGAGCCACATCATCCCACACCCCCACCTCCAGTTTTCCTGTCCAGTACCTTGCAGGTGTGGGCTCTCCGGCAGGGCTTGAGGCTGTGTGCCAGGGCTGGCTGTGCCCATAGAGGAAGGTCTGGAACAGGCGCAGGGCCCATTTTGGGGGTGGCCACACGGGACAGTCACTGCTGTTGCCTTCCAGGAAGGCAATGGGTCTGCCCCAGCGGTTCAGGGAACAGCCCTTCCCTCCTGGCACCTCCCCGAGAAAACCCATTCCTGGAAAGGAGCCCAGAGCTGGCTCTGCCTTCCCTGCAGCTCCGTGAGCACAGGGAGGGTGTACCTTTGTGTGGGGGAACATCTTTCAGTTCAACCCCATGCAAAGGGGAGACCCTCTTTGCTCACCCTAAGGCAGAGGCGAGAACCAGGGACTTCCAATCCCTTTTTCTGCCATGCCTCTCCATTGATCTACTCTCCCAGTTAGAGGGAATCCCTTTTCATCCATCCTCCTCCCACTCTGTGCTCCGGTGGGAACTCCGGAACTCCTTGCTCCCTTACCCTTCTTTGTACAGGGTGGTCTTAGCCCTTCTCCCACCCCCAGCCACATAGGCAGGGAGGAGGCCATCAAACATTCCCCCTCCCTGGGCCCCAATCTCCTACCCCTCCAGAGCCTGCAGCGCCGACTCACTCACAGCACCTTAGAGGGGTGGCTGGGTGAAGTCTTCCTTCCCCACAGCCTCATCCCACACACTGTTCTGAAACTGCCCGCCCAGGGGAAGCTCCATCCTGCCCTCCTCCTCCCCAGTCCCTGCACCCTGCAGGGTCCCAGCCCCATGGGAACATCCCCACTGCCTGCCAGGGTGTGCTGCCAGCTGCCTCTCCACCCTGCCAAGGAACGCCTGATTTCTCCTGAACAGGGATCTGGGGAACAACCAAGAAAATGAGGTGAGGTGTGGGTGGCTCCCCCAGCACAGCCATGGGTGCTACATGCCACGGTGAAGAAGATGCTTTTGGCTGTGGGTGTGGAAGTGCCCAGCTCAGCTTTCTGATACCACGCAATCCAGGGGCACCGAGTGTCCTTTAGTTGTCACAGCAGAGTTTTATTAGTTTAGTAGCTTCTGGTTAGTGTCTAGGCCAAAACGTGGCTGGGTTAATAATAACCCATGAAGAGACTGAGAGAAGTCCACAGCGTCAGCACAGATCAAAAGCAGCATCACTATTGCAAGCCCTGTCGTATTTTCCACCGTACCCTTCCGTGAGCGGATTGCACTCGCTCTATCGAGCGGTCTCAATCTGATCCAATTTCCTGCCAGCAAACAAATGTTTCTAGGAAATGCAATACATTATCTGGATGGGTTTATTATCAGCATTTGGAACCAGGAAAACTGCATATTTTCTCGAGCGCCGCAGGGAACTTTATAGTTCATACTTCAAAAGAGGGTTTAAAGGATTGCCCTTGAAAGCTGGCCCAGCTCAAGTCTCCACATTGTTTTGGTCTTTGCAGAAGAAAATGCAGAGGAGGGAGGGGGTGAGCACGCTAAAACTGCCTCCAATGTTTTCCTACTAAAGAGGACTCCCCTGTCCTCTACGGAGCCAAGCTCTGGCTGTGAGGCAGAGGCAGCACGTGCCCTTGGGAAGCAAGGAGTCGAGCCTTCCTCAGCATTTCAAACGACCCCAAGCAATCTGGCACATTAATTTTTCAAGGGAAGGCAGGAACCATGTGTCCTGGCTGAAATCTAGGGAGCTACTCCAGAGAACAGAAGACGGACTCCGTGCCCTGCCAACACAGAGCCCTGCACAGAGATGCTGACCCGAGAGCAGGATGCAGCCGCAGCCGGGTGTCCCCAGCAGCTGAGCTGGGTCCCTGGCCCTGCTGGGCTCCAAGGAGGTGTCTGATCATCCCTAGCCCGAACTGGGACAGAAAATTACCAGCTGGCACCTGACTCTCCCCATCTCTGTACTCCTGGGGCTGAGGGTGGCACAGCTCCTTCTGGCAGTAAGGAACTGCTCTGGC